TAAACAACATGCAGATAGATCAGACTGTATTCGAAAGACAATCTATTGTGCACCCACACGCAGACAGAAAAACTGACAGAGCCAATTGAGTTACAGTTAACATTTCCTTTATTTCAGTATAAGAATTCCTGAACTGAAGAATGGTATTTTGGCCCATACTGCTAGACTAGATAAATTCCTTAAGTATGCGGTGCCACAAGTGTACACAGTACTATCATAGCAAAAAGACGGCCTGGGACAAGTTTCATTTTTATTATTAGCAGTAGTTAGACGTTTCAGGTAAGGATATTATGCATTTCTGAATTTGCCTGGAAAGTTAATAAGAATTTTGAGAACATTTTAAAACATTATAAAATTGCCTCTTGACACCCACGATACTTTGGTACGAGATGTGGAATAAAAACCTACATGTGATAAACATTCAGTAAACAGATTCTCTGCACTCCAAAGCCTAAGTAATACACAAGCTGAGAGTAATTACATAAGAAACTTAATTTTCTACACAAAACGTGCTGCCAAAGAACAAGACTCAAACCTAGAACTTTTTTTTTCCACGTGAAAGTGAAAGCATCGTAACAAAGCAGTACGGCCTGGTAGGCAATGCAAGTCATTTCAACTGTTAGAGGCTTTGGCAAAGGTTTAGCACGAAAGAAGTCCAATTACTTGCAGTGTTTCACAAAACCATACCCCTGACTGCTTATTGGTGCTTTGGAACAGGGAAGCGAACTCTATAGGCATACAGAAACAAACAGGAAACAACTGTCTGCTAGGTCATGAAGGATGTAAAGAGAAACTAAATATTGTTATTCTTAAGCCTTGTTCTGAAGAGAAAACTATCATTGAAGGAAGCTAAGAATAAAATGCCAGAAAGACATTGATACATATATTTTTAGAACAACCTGCAAGCATATCTTCAACTATTTTTTCTTCAGGGCAGTAGTTTCTTAAAAATAATGTGAATTTCCTTCTTCCTTTCTGTTCTTAGGATCACAAAGGCAGTTATTTTTACCTTTATTAAGCATGCCTGGAGTATTTTAGTTGTATAATGTAGGACAATTAGACTCCAGGGTTGATAAATGGAGCTGACGTACTTAGTTGCAAGTTGTTCATGTCTCCTGACTGCCTTCTGGTTCAGACAGCTTACCTTTTAAGTTCTGTATGTATTCTTCCCATTCTGTATAGATACTAATACCCATTAAACAAAAACCAAAAACACAGATAAAAGAAATCTGCCTCAAATTAGTAATTAAAAAAAAATGTACTGTTTAATAAGCACAAGAAAAGCAAAACTTAAGGCTACTGTCTTACGTTATTAGGCAATGGAAATAGAAGAAGTTGGACCTATAACCAGCAGCTGGGCATGTTTTGACACTGGATGCTATACAAAGAATTCCCTCTAGGGAAGACACGAACTTACATTAAAAACAACACTTTCAAGATCTTTCTTTTTTCAACTGCCATCTGCTGGTCAGCTCCTACTTCATGGGGGTACGATGAACGACAAACTAGCTAACAATTTAGAGTATTACATGTTCTTTATTTTGTCCTCTTTAAAGATATCATGATTCTCTGACAAAGTTCAGAGGTAGTATCTAGACCCTATAGGATACCGTGACATTAATCTACTGTGAACAATCCATTCAATTGAATGAAGCCAGCCAATAACGACAAAAATTGATTGAAAAGCTACAACAGGTATGTCTTGTGCAAATACACAAAATGTACTAATAATCCAACAACAATGGTAATGCAAAGCCTTTTTTTATTTATTAAAAAATACTGGTTACACTCTACTGGCACCTACTACATTATTGAGGGGTAGAAGGAGAAGGCAAATGACAGCACTTGCATCTCTTTTCAAAAATACGAGGTTTTGGATGGTTACATCGAATCTTATAGCAGCAGTAAAGTACTACACTGAACTTCTGTGGACTTGGAAATGTTGATTATCTTTCCCACACTATGCCCCACAGCTCCTCATTAAGAAATAGATTTCAAGGAAATTACTGCTGATGCCAAGTGCCCAGAAGTAAAATTAAGTACTTTTTTTCCCCAAGATTATATGCAGGTATGACATTTACTCATTCATGTATAAATGTCAAATAAAAACAAAGGCATTGCTATTTTTTTGTCCATTGACTTAGAGAAAATCCTTACTGGTCCTTACATGTTAATCCTTACATGTTAAAGTAATTCAAACCCCCGTTTTATGAAAGGAGCAAAGGCCTACCTACCTTTTGCCCTCTGGTATGTTGGGAGAAGCCCAATCCATGGTTCTCTCTCCCTTCTAAATTAGGCACCTAAAATGACTTATGGATTAAAAATTTGGGCTTCTGTTCATTCTGTAATATTTCAAGTATTCCCATTCAAAATACCCCAAATAACAATAACAACCATCCAAAATCTTTGTAAATAGTCAAAATAAGGTGATCTTTCAAAGAAGAAAAAAAAAACCAACTGTGCACACCCCTCTTTACTAAACACACTGCTACTATAGTTGCAATGAGTGACATTTAAGAGGTTTGCAACTAGCTACAGTCCTTGACAAATAACAGTTATATGCAGGCTCCCTTCTAGAACAAGCCGTCCACAAGTAGCGAGGCAAAAAAAGAAGGAAAAAAAAACCAAAACCAAACAGCCAGAATCCACTTAATATTGCTTGGTGAAGGTGTATGTGCTTGTGGAATACGCAGTATTTTTTTTCACCTTTGTCAGAAGAGCATTTAAGTCAACACTTAGAAGTGTAATAGTGAACACAAATATAAAAGTTAGTCAGCAAATGTATTTAATGTTGAAAAGAATTACATCCTACTCAGTTAGCAGAGCAAGGCTTTCAGCACTGCATGATTGTGTTTATTTTTTAAAACTCTTTCCCTCTTTCCGGAGAAGCTTTCTCTCTGGATGAACACTCTCAGGACATACATGTAGTTAGCTGTTTAGACAAGTGCTAAATCACAGTACAAAAGGGAAAAAGGATTTTAAAGCCACCCACAACATCCAAGGTTTATATCTTTCCTTGTTTTGTGAGTTCAGAAATACATGCCTGTCATATATATATATATATTTAATATTTATTTAAAAGCAAAATAAATCTATTATCAAATTATCAAACAAATTGGGTCCAACCCTTAGCTGGTAAAACTTTGTGTCAGTGCAGCTTTAAACCATTTAAGGATCCAGCCCACTGTTACCTACTCCTCAAGCCACCCAGCTCCCCTCAGGTCTATGTTTTTTTGATAGGGTACATTTTTGTTATGTTGACTGCAGGAGGGTTGGAACTAGATGTTCTTTGAGGTCCTTTTCAACCAAGGCCATTCTATGTTTCTATAATTCAACCGTTTCGAAACATCAGGAAAACATTCACAGGAAAGTATTCACTTTCTAATCTGTGTATCTGCCTTATGAGCACTGTATGATGTCAATTTTTCTCACACTTCTTGCTATTCAGCATTAGCTGAGTAAATAAAGAGTGAAGTTTTAAGATTTTCATCTCAGCCTAAACAGTGATTTCAATTTTTACATGTAAACTGCTAGGACACAACCCAAAATCCTACAAAAATGAGATTTTTATAGAGAAAGATTTCTGTAGGCTTCATTCTTTTTTTCTTTTTTTTTTAATAACGCTATAAACAGAAATAAAATCTTTCTCCTCAGATTACAAAATTTAGAGACGCGTATTTAGAATGAAAAATATAGTATGATCCTTAAATGAGTCTGGCTTAATAGCTGGTCCCAAATACAAACAACTGAGATTGCAAGTTCCGACTGTAAAGTCAAAACAGAAGAAAGTGTTATGCCAATGATAACTGGGACTTTCTCAATTGCAAGAACAAAATGAGAACAAGTGTTAGTTTTTTTTACCACTGCCCTGGACATTTTTTTCTGGTGGGACTTCTTTAGTTTATTTTATTAGGGTACAGGAGGGAGAATGCAAGGTGGGTTTTTTTTGTTTGTTTGTTTTTTTTATAAAAGGTATTTTCAAGTTACAGTAAGATAAACAGCCATTAACATGCAACCTTCCCCACCCCCAAAGGTAAACCATTTATGAACATAGTCTAGATATTTTAACTGCATTCATTATAGTGTCTAAGCACCTCATGCTTTTTGTTTAGGGAGACTAAAGAGTCTCTAGGATATTTGGAAGCCCTACTCCCTCATTAGCAGGCATGTCTTTTCTCTACAACTTCTGTAATACAAACTTCTTGAAGGTGTTTGTCCACGGTTTAATAAATTCTATCAACTACATTTCTGAATCCACCTGCAACACAGCATGCATACTTGACCCTCATGCTGCTACTCTTTGGCTGATTTGTCTTAATAGTGTAGATAACTCGGGGAACGGTTCAAGGGATTGTATGAATACAATTCAGGTACATACATTTCATTTATTGTATGTCAATTGAAAAGAATTACAGTTCCAAATATGCAGAGCTAAGACTATGATTAGTAAGTATCAAAAAGATACTTCCTTCACTGCCTGCTTAACTCTTCAGACAATGAAGCTATTTGCATCACAGAGAAATAGCACTTAAACAGCCTGAAAACTAATCTGAGCTTAAAGGGGCTCTGCTCAGAAAACTGTCCAGTTCTACATTGGAGGATTAGGAAACTTGCTTCAATATAAAAGCTATGGCAACATGACAATATTGAGTTACATAATGTAACTAATGTAGTACGCTTACATAAAGTCTGTAGAAGAAAATACAGAACACACTGGCATTTTACTTTGCCTCTAACAGAAGGTTACAATTCTAAAACTTTGTTGGTAAATACATTAAAAACCACAATAATATTTTGACGTCCCCAAATCAGACGTTCTTGTTACAATAAATGAATTTGCAATGCACACATTAACAGGTTTCACAGAGGCCAGAACTGTAACTTGTCTAGAGCACCAACGTTAGAGAATTCGCCTTTGTTTTTTGCTTTTAAACAAAAAGATTCACACCTGAAAATTTCTGTAATTAAATGGCTGTGTGCAAACACCATTTTTTTTTTACCTCATTCTCAGTTAAGGAAGCTGAAGGAGATGAACTTTTGCTAAAAGCAAGAGTTGAAGATTCTGCTGCTGAAGCCCGATTTCGCTTCTTCAGAGGTTTACATGCATCAGACAGATTTTTCGTTGCTGTAAAATAATTTTGGTTTACAAAGTGAAGTTTGGAACTTTAAAACGTTATCTCCCTGAAGCCATTTAAAATATTCCTTCAGATAAAAGAAGGAATGATTTATGTAGGTCTTGTGGGCATTTATGTAAGGCTGAGAAAACAAGAAGTTTCTGAAATCACGTTTTTGCTTGATTTTAAAAGCAAAGAGGTTTCTATTAAGCAAACACATACTACAGATGGCTAAAAAATGTTTTCCCCAAGCACTTACGTCTATTTAAAGCAAAACATCTTGTGACTTATGACCTCTTCAAAGCAGAGGTAACAGGTATGTCCTCAAATAAGCACTAGAAGGTCTACGTTATCTCACCAGAATCTGCGTACCACTAATACTTAGTTAAGAGAACAGGGACAAGGTACCAGACATATCACCACTTCTATGCTGTGCAGAACTTTCTGAAGCTTATTCATCTTTGGAATTTCATTATAGTATCTAAAGAGACATGCTCTTGCAGAAGTTATCTTAACCTTGAACATCTGGTTTTTGGTACAAGGTTATTTAGAATTCCCTCTCATGCACCACACTGCCTCCCATAAAGCATCATTTAAAAGGTCTAAAATTACATAGTAACTGATTGCAGTGATGGTCACTGTACGTATTTTATTGGGTAACTGAAGAACAAATTGGAGCGGTAGGATTTTTATCGCTGCTCTCCAAGATCACAGGGCTATATTGTATACAATAGCTTTAATTTGGTGCCATCAAATGGTGAACTTGTGAACTGCTGCTCTAAATCAGCAATGCACAATTTCAAGCAAGTATAATGCTGCAAAATGGTGGTAGTGAAGGAAGAGGGCACAGTCTCCCCCAGTCTGTGGCACAGTGGCTGTATCTTGTTATTGCATCAGCAAATTTAGCTGACTACCTCAGACAACCTGTTTATTTTTATATTATTTAATTGAAAAAGTTACATTAAAACTTATTCTGACCACATTACCTGACTGGTTCTTTTGTGAAGAGGAGGTTTCTGTGACCTTAGTAGAGTTTGTTTTTGGTGTTTTGTCATTGCTTGTCTCCCTCTGTCACAAAAAAAAAAAAAAAAAGAAAAATAAAAAAACTCCTAATTTATGAGTGGTTGGACAAAACTAGCAATTACTTCTGGATTTATGTTATTAAGGTGACTTTACAAATACCTGCATGGTAACGTTGTTAAGCTACCCCCACTTAAGTAATTTTTTTAAAGCTTACGTACAAAACAGGGTACAAACCCATAAACAAATGAGTAAAATCAAAGAACACGGTAATCCAGCATCCCACTTATCCATCCCAAACTCAGCATTTCAGAAAGGGGAACTCCATATGAAAACAAAACATGTAAATTACCCTTACTATCTTGGTCTGAACTGGTCAAATTAAAACCTTTAATTACTAAGGGTAAACTGCAGAAGTAAACTATATAAAGTTGAGAATAAATGCAGAATTTAAGTCTCAGAGGCTTGCTTTCAACTCTAAACTTGCAGCAGTGCCATTTTAAAAATTACTATGGTTAAGATTGTTCCAGCATTTCCAAAATATAAACACTATTATCAAGGAAGCATATGCAATGAATAAAGTTGCTCCAGACTGAGAATTTATCATCAGAATTTATCCCCTAAACTGGGGAAATTGTTGTCAAAGCTGTGTCAAAATTAGACAGTGTTATTTTCTTTGTATCTCACAAACTTATTCAAATTGTAAGAGCATAAAATTGTATCAAAGAATGCTCAACCCTATAAAATGCTCAAATGAGCAATAAGAAAAAACTCTACAGCACAAATATTATGTACTTTTTCATATTCTTTATCTGACTGTTTTATAAAAGATGTCCAGGTGAGAAGGTACTGAGAAGGTGAGACTGTACTACAAATGTGAGGCACTACACTTCTACTGATGTCTAAATAGACCAAGGCACCCTACCACTGATGCTGCTGTGTTCAATGAATAAAAATGTACAGGATAATTCATACAATTTAAAGCAGGCTTTACAGAAACCCCTCCGTTAACGTGCATTTTACACACATCTTGAAAGCACTGATGAATGAAAAGACTTCAAGACTTTCATATACTTACTATAATTTAGTCTCTTGTGAAACAACATTCAGATTCTGTAAGTAAGAGTTTAGGACAAAAAGAAAAGGGTAATGCACAGCAAGTGCTCATGAAAAATCAGTAAGCCTTCACATATCCCAAAAGATTGTACCATAAGTCTACACACAGTCTGGGAATAGTAGAAGGAAGTGTACAGCTAGTGTTTGGTTTTTTGAATCATTGTGTAGACACTGTTGCTGTCATTCACTACATTTTCTACTAAGCAGCAGCACACACAGCTACGATCCTGGGCTGGTGGAAGCAGGAAGATGACTGAAAGATTATCCAGTAAAAAAAAAAAAAACCAAAAGCAGAAAAAAGCCATTCTATGATAACTGATCCTTCTGTGGGCAGAAGACAAAAAGTACTGCCTTGTGCATTTAGAGTTTCCAAATCACACAGTATTTATACGCACCAGACGCCGTAAATCTACTTCTGATAAATTAAACAAAAGACACCACTTTATGTATGAAGCACGTTACCTAAGTCAGTATTATCAGTGGTGTATCTTATTAGAATAACTTATCTCAGTTATTTATTTATTTAATAGTCACATCTGCATCATGGTATCAAAGACAGCAGAATCTCCTCTTCATGAGCTATACTGTAACCACCCTTTATTCTACTTGTGATCGTCAAGGCCAACTGCAACAAAAACTGGTCAGGCAGTAAAGAAGGAACTTTTATTTCATTCAAAACAAGGGCTTGGTAACAAGAGTTAATTTCAATAAATAAATTTAATTATTTCCCTGTATCTAGTGCATTATAGTAATTCAAATCAATTAGACATATATTTGAAGTTTCTAAAAAATTTCTCCTAGAATATAAAATGGATATTCAATCACTGGCCTCTCAGAGCAGAAAGCGCAAAAAACACTTTTGTCTCTCCCCAAAACTTCTCTAAGAACTCTCTCTGTTCCTTACTATTAAGTTACAAGTCTGGTATCTGAAATTCTACTTACTGTTTTCAGTGACCTTTAACCGGCTATCTGGATACCTGCAGTATCAAGACAAGCTACAGAAGTAACAAGCCTATCAGACTGACATCTCTAAATGTGACCTCCAGAATTCATTTAAAAATAAATCTATCACCTTTCCATATATTAGCTTGCTTCATTTAACCAACATGACACTGAAGTCCTCAGGTCTGCAATACCCACACCACAGTATGGTATTCTAGTAACACATGTGAAAACATCTATGAGCTAAACTCTTCACAGAAGTACAACCTAAGAAGTTCACTGATCTAAAATCACAACTAAATAAACCTATAGTTGAGCATCTACAGGATTTGGGCTGACACATACATAATTTTAGTGACTTACGTAAGGAAAATTCTCATTCTCACAAGCAAGTTAAACTAAAAAGAAGCTTGTGATCTGCACAATAAATATGCTGTATTTACCACAGTTTCCTATCTTAAGCAATTAGACGAGATGTCACTAAAATGTACTGTAGGATTCAATACACTTTTTGAAAATTAGTTTTCCTGTTCTGCTGAACTTGCATTCCTCTCTTCCCCAACTTTTGTCTAAAAGAAGTATCATAAGACATTAGAGATTTTTGTACACGTTCTTGTATACATGCCTGAAATCTGATTCACAGGGAAAGGAAAAATACTATAAGGCTATACTGACATGTCATGCCTCTGCATATTCCTTTGGGAAACAGATTTTCTCAGCATGCATTTTCACCAAAGTCTAAGTAGCAAAAGCAACTTCACATCTCTTTGCTTGAAACCAAAGAAGAAAACCCATGGCAATAAGCTCACATTTCTTTGAATATTTACAATAGTTTAATTTGATTCAAAGACATTACTTTTTTAGTCCTGGAAATGGAAATGCTGACAAACTTAACTACAGCAATGTGATTGGTGCTGCTATAAATCCACCCAAACAAACCAACAACATAATTACCTTCCGATTATTCTGTTTATCCATCCTGAGTCTTTTCCTAGGTGCCTCCTGAACTTCAAAATCTTCTGTAGGTTCCTTTGTCCTCTTTTTTTGGTTTCTTTTATTTCCATGTAAGTTACCTTGGGATGGGGGATGGGGGAAACTTACATGAAAAATAATCTAAAACCCACTTTCAAATTATTTTGAACTGATCTAGTTATTTAAGTTACTTTTCTATCAGTCATTGTTTCTAAACATGGTTAAACATTAACACAGTTTGATGACCTCTTAATGCCTGCGGTCTGGTTCCTGTTGCTGAAGGTAAGCTCTAAACTCTCCAAATCAACTGCTCAATAGTCATTTTAGAAAGATGAGTCTGCCTACATAAGCACTAGTATAAGATCTGAATATCACTATCCAACATTTGTTTCATATTGTCAGACTGCACGTGGTTTTAACTCTTCTGCCACTTTGTAATAGTGCCATATCACGGAATCTAAGTTTTACATCTCCATGAGGAGTTCTCCAGTTGATACTGGTGAAGGCACTGGAGATCAGCTTAAGGGGCTTCTGGAAAAAACAAGCTATCACCAATTGTACAGATTAATTCTCTCTTTTTGGCATAACAATTCCAGATTCTTTCCAACAAGCTTACTTACGTTTTACAGGAGACCATAAGACCCCGTTCGTTTGTGAACCAAAATTCTTAAGAACAGATTCACTTTGGTCATTTTAATCCAAAACAGACTTATTGACACATCTATGTGATCATTCACTGAAAGTTCAAAAGCAGCTAGCTAAATAACAAAAGGTCACCAACTAACCTACATATTCTTTCCCTAGGTTCAGCAATTGTTTACACTTGCTCTATCACAAAAAGATAGATGAAGCTTTAAGAAGCATACTGGTTCATCAGGATGAAATGACAACATCATTACACTCTCCAGTACTCTCTAGTTTATGAAGCTACAGAGTATTATTATTTCAAAGACTGCAAGCTCCAGGGGCACAGATATGTAAACTGAAAATTGCCCTACGGCTACAAGTATTCCATTCCAGTGGGAACAAATAGTTGTAAATATTAAAAATATAGTAACTTGAAAATATGAATAATTTTCAAATTAATGTTCCTATCTAAAAAAACTAGGACTCTGATTTCATAAAGCAGACTGATGTGGCTCCAGGAGAACCTGCTACTTACAAAAAGCCAGTAAAACAAATCCCACAATATTCTTCCACGTTTAAGATAAGAGGATTTGGGTAGGGAAACAATTCAATTGACATGTTTTCATCTTAGATAACTATAAATGTACACAATATATGTACGAGAAACACCTGGTACAGGTACAATTTCAATTACATTTCTTGCAATATGACACTGAGGAAGTTGAACAAAATTCAGCACTACAGCATTTAGATATTTAATTTGGGATCCATTAAAACTATCGTCAAGGAAGACAACATCTGAGATAAAATAAAGAGATTATGATACGTGGGCGATTACATAAAAAAATACACTCAATAGCTACTTATAATGAACTATTTCATACAACACAAATTTCAATTACTTCTGGATCTTGATCTCCTTTTAGGTGAGTCTTGAAACACTTTACGTTTGGCCTCTCCAATATTCTTCAATGATGAACCTTGAGAGATACAGAATGTGTTTTTTTTTTAAACTGATATCCAAATATTTGACACTTATATTTTAAAGTTAAAAACTTTTCAATTTTCCACAAAATTATGTTACTTCACACACACACAGTTAACAAAACTGACGGCCATTTTTATACAAGTTTTTCCAAGTCTCACAAACTTTCAAACACTCACTCTCATTCTTGTCATTGCCCAAAGCAGCACCTGTTCGTTTCTTACACTTCCACATTGTCTTCTTACAGTGCTGAGAAACTATTTAAATTTGAAACGTGATAACTACTAAAAAATTGCTAAAATCCATGTAAATGCCAAACTACCTTCCTCCTTTCTCAAATGCATGACTCAACGACCCTCAAATACTTTGCAAAATAATTGAGACTGATCATTAAATGCAAATGCTAGACAACAGCGACAAGAAAAAGGAAAAAAAAACGTATTTGAAATCTTATACAATGTCCTAAAAATTTTGCATAGTACAATAAAATGCCAAGTGAATGAAGGATACCAAATAAAGGTCAGAATACTTCTTCCTGAGCTGATGATGATGAGGTAATACACTACAGGTATTCATATGAAGAAGAGGTGTAGCACTGATCACTCTTCTGAAGCCATTTACTATCTACTCTATTTTAAAAAAGGCAACTCTGATTTTACTAGTATTAACACTTCATTTTCCCTTTCCAGCATCCACCTATAACAGGCAGTGGGTGTAATGGCAGCTGCTTATGGGCAAAAGAAGAATGAGAAATCATCAATCTCTAAACAGTAGGAGGTTTACACATAACAACTTTTCAGAACAACGAGCAAGAAATGTAGACTTCATGGGTTGCTTTTATTGTAACCATTGGCATTCCTTTGCTATTGGCACAAACACCAAGAATTAAAACTTGGAAAACAGTGAAAGCTGTTTTCCCTACAGGTCTCAAATATGTGCTTAGTTTAACACCACTATGTTTATCAAATTTAGTTAGAGTACACTAGCACAGTTTTACGTTTACCAGAGTCTTCTTCAGATTTGGGAGAGGTCACTATGGCAAACTTTGTGTTATAGCGAGCTTTCTGTTTTTCACTAAGCATGTTCCACTGCGATTCAAGCAACTCTTCAATCTCCTCACTTGATGCATCGGGATGTTCAGCAACCACCTATACATGCAGAAATAGGGTTTTATTAAAAAAAAAAAAAAAAAAAAAAAAAAAAAGACCAGCGAAAAGAACGGAATTTGTTCTTCACAGCCTCAGAAAACTGGATACAAACAAGTTTTCTAATGTTTCTGCTACAGATGGAACTACGTTTGAGCCTTTTGTACCCATTATTATTATTATTATTTTTAATTACAATTTCTCTCTCTCTGAAAAGAGAATCTTTTAGCAGATTCAGAGTCATTAAGAACCACCTTGGAACCATTTGCCTTTTAACATACAGAAAATTGAGTACATATAAACCCTGTGGCATGGTGCTTCAAAAAGGTTCTATTATTACTGAATGTAGTTAAAATCTATCCCACAGAAAACAGGCATATGATATTGGAATATGTGCTTGCCTATAAAGACATCCACCAATTTATAGGAAAACTCACTATTCATAGGGAATCTCCTATCTTAGCAGAGGGATCTACTCAAACTAGCATCTGAGGTAACATTTTCCTGTATTATTTTCTCATTTTATACCATTTATACAAATGCTAGGAATTCAAAAAGCTGTGCATCTTCTCTTAATATAAACACAATACACCACAGCCATCATCACTGAAATTAACTGACTTCCTAGAAACAAAAAAGCCAGAAACTTCTTCAGTATTTCCATACTTTCTCTTAAGGAAAGACAGATTTGATAAAGAAATCAGAAAACTCTAAGATTCTGCATTCTGCCAGAATGAAACAATACCTTAAAACACAGCCCTTGGCCACTGTCACTAACCAGCATTTTCCAATTCTAATCAGCAGTCCTACCACTTATTACTGCTGTGATGCAACCAATACCCCAAAATCACAGAGCAAAATAAAAAGTAGGCCAATAAAGCCAAGTGTTTTAATCTTAACTTCTTAGAATGGAGTATTTTTACATTAAAAATTCTGGTGTCAAGCAAGGTACAAGTGTGACTAAAGCTTCTCCAGGGGTTGGAATTGTTGTAATACCTTCCTTCCATTGAGATTAATTAGAGCCTAGTAAGAAAACACATGTCATTTTTCCCCTGGTTAAGTACTAAGATTCTTCTTCCTTTTACCTCATATAATTTACTTGCTAATAGGACATTGACCTTCGGGGGCCTCTATTCAAAGTCTGATTAAAACTGAGAAGTGTCCAAAAAGTTACTGAGAGGAGACAACACAGACAGATCTACAAGATACCTCTTCCACACATCTCACTTCCTAAAGCAAACTAGGTAGTATCAGTTTTGACAACTGGCTGCTGACCGTATATAGTTTATCGTGCCCAACTAAGGCATAGAATTATTTAACTTTCTAAGGAATATCTACCTTTGTTCGCATAAACGACCTTAGTGGTGCCTCCAGCTTCAATAATGTACAAATAAAAATAACTGTCAATGAAATAGGAAAGCAGTGAAATGACAGGCAGAAAAAAACCCACGCTTAATAATTAGGGGATACGCAAAGTCGGACACCAATATCTTCATGCTATAACATTCCTCTCGAATGTAGTTGATACAGTATATGTGAAAGACATGTGCTTCTTCAAGATATTTTTCTAAATATGGACAAAATTATGAGAAGTCCTGGATCTACGTATTAATATCACTATAGGTGCATGAAACGTGGTGCTTAGATCAGGCATGTACTAGCCCATCCAAGTAAAGCAAACTACCTCCACTCTTACTTGTCTTGATATTCAACAATTCCTTATACTTACAGAAAACTTACATTGTACACCCTACAAATGAAATTAGTCCTTCATTTATCAATGAAACCAGTTCTTAATTCACTTCTAAAAAGACTCAAGGTCCAAATCAAGTCATTAACATGGTTTTGTCCCTCACTGAAAATACCTTTATCTCAAGTCAAGATGCCTTCTAACAATTATGATGGTTGTATTTCACATAGGGAGAGTGCACAAGAAAGCCAACAGTATAAACTTCTTTGGTTTGCACAAAATACTTAAGTGTATCACTGAAACTATGAAAGTGTTCCAAGTTTAAATGCCTCCTTCCCTTATGGAAGCATTCCTGCTAAATCACTAAAAACATTCTCAGGCAGTTCATAGAATTGTAGAATGGCTCAGGCTGAAGGGAACCTTAAAGACCATCAAGATCCAAGCCCCTGCTGTGGGCTGGTTGCCAACCACTAGATCAGGCTGCCCAGGGCCAACCTGGGCCTTGAGCACCTCCAGGATGAGGCACCCACCACTCCCTGAGTAAAAAAATTGTTCCTAACATCTAACCTAAATTTCCCCTCTTTCAGTTTAAATCCATTTCTCTTTGTCCTATCACTATGAGATCGTGTAAAATGTTTGTCCCCCTCATGTTTGTAAGCTCCTTTTAGGTACTGGAATACTGCTATCAGGCCTCTCTAGTGCCTTCTCTTCTTCAACCTAAGCAAGCCCAACTCCCTCAACTTTTCTACACAGGAGAGGTGTTTCAGCCCTTTGATAATCTTCGTGGCCTTCTTCTGGATCCACTACAACAGCTCTGCATCCTTCATTACCCTCAGTCCTCAAGCAGCCACTACTAATTTCTAAAAACTTCAACTATTCCTGTCCCATTCTCAGAAAATCAATACAGAAAGTAGTAATTAATAATAATGAAGCTGATATAAGAATTCTAATACAAGACTCCAGACAAGGTACAGTAGGAATGTATATACTTTTAAGATACCCTGAGATTATTAGAAGCCCCAGATGAGTAGTTTTTAGTCCTCCCTTTCCATTGACTGCTGTCTCCCTCCCAAGACTGGGAGAACCTCTTCTAAATCCAGTTTTCCTTTTTCCTAAGTATCTATCTGCAAATACTTAAGGAACCATATTCTACTCTTTCAGATGGCGTTAACACAAGTAGCTTAGAAAGTGGTCTGGTTTTTAAGCTAATGTTATCACTCCATAAAAAATAACAGCATCTACAATGGGAAAAAAAAACCAACCAACCAACTAAAAAATCTTATATGGACAGTAAGCTATGCAAATTGAAACAGATAAGCCAAACAGAAGGGAAAACACTGAACATTATTTGGATATAGTCTCCACGGTCCACTGAAGACACAAAACTGTCTTTTTAGAAGCAAGTTAACAAGCTTAAAGTGTTAACCAAAATTAGGTAGCAGGTATCTAAAATGCCAGTCATCTTCATATCAAGAGTAAGGAAAAATTAGACCCTAACGATCTTCATTTGACAGAGGGACTGGTAGCTGCTGCTATTTGTTATCCATCACTTTTGTAACCTCGCTGTGTTCCATGCACACAAGTGCTTCAGTATCAACTAGAATGAACTGCATAATTACATGGATTTGGGTTTTCACGACTGATTTTTATTAAAACGAATTCTAGGCAGAAAAGACAAGATGCCCTCTCCATATACGTAATATTTTGAAAGTCTAATTTAAACTCTGTAGAATATTAACCATTATATTCAGTGTGAATTTTCAAGTTTATGGAAGTTTCTCAGTGTCTCAAAGTGGCACGGAAGACAAAGCAATTCCTCAATGTTAAATAGTGCAATATCCTTTGTGTTTTCCATCTATTCATTTGAGAGTTATAGTATAATCAGAAAGGAATGACACATGTTAATTGGCGCAGAAAATAAAAGTATAACATCAGAGACACAGCGTGTCTCTTCTGTGGTAAGATATGTGTAGGTAAAACCAATCATAATGATCTCATTATTCCAGAGCAGTAATTTTATGTGCCTCAGTGTTGCATAAGGCTTCTTGTTGCATACCTTACAGGCCAAGGAAATACTCTCCTGTCATTACATAAGATGCAAGGTTACTTACAGAAGTGGAAATAGAACTCTCTCAAACATGAGACAGACGTTTCACACATACAGCTTTTCAAAATGAATATATCAAAATCTATGTTTAAATGTCTAGCTACAAAACGCTTTTGTTTCCAGAGCTAGCAAACTGATCTGCCAGTGTTTTTCTCAAGTAAACCAAACCCACTAGAAGCTATATGCACACTGTATTCATTTTCATTCTTGTCAGTATCATGAGTTGTAATGATCTAAAAAGATCCTTAAAATGAACTACAACTAATTTATCACCATACAGTATAATCTGGCTTTCAGTTTTTCTTTATGATGTTCCAATTTGTTAATATTTTCTAACACAAATATCTTCAATTGAAATCAAACGTTTAACAGTTGAAGTCCCTAACCAAGTCATCTGTAACTTTCTGCCTTTGTGGGTATTATAGAAAAGCACAATTAATATAAAACATCACAACTCATGGTTCCATCAGTGCATGGAATTGTGCTGCAAATGCAGCAGAAGGTTGTAAGGAAGAAAAATGACGTTCATGATTTTAAAATAGTGAGTCAGAACAATGATACCGCTTTTATACCTCTAACAGTCTTCCTATGAAGTGTTGATATTATGATAGTTATTTAATCTACCTTGCCCTGGAGTGTAGTCCTCTCAAGAAGGCCTAGTTTCTGTCCCAAGATACTGCACACTGACAGTGATTTTCAAACACTTTGGTAACTGTTGAAGCTTTTTCTGAAGCTCAGCAAAGGACTCTAGGTAGGGAAATTGAGTTTTTGCGGAGTTAAGACACGGGAGCACACTGTATAATTTGAGCCACATTATCGAAATGAATGCACAAGCTAACTACAAGTAGACGACCATAAGCAGCATCACCTTGCTTATATTTGCTGAGCGCACGTATAGCATATCTACACTTTACATATATTAAGAAAATTAAGACTAATAAAAAGGACTTCTAAATTATGTAGGAAGATACTAATGTGATATGCTTGAAGGGAACAGCATTATCACTATTTTGTTCATACTATTTATATACATTCTTTCCTTTCTCTGCTACTGTTTGGACCAAGATTTGATGCAGGCATACTCAGACAATACTACAGATTCTAAAGTAACAGTTAGTTACCAACTAAAGTGAAGAACTTCCTTTAAATACAGAAATGAGCAGAGGCAATCATCCATAGTAACAGCTAAAAGAGACTAACCTCATCTCTGTGCTTCTGACAAAAGACCAAAAACTGAGATACTGCATCGCCCTTTCTGCTTCGTGGAGTAGAGGCTGGAGTTTTCTTTCTACTGAGAGGGGAGCCTATCCCTCTTTTGGATTCAGCCTGTTCAGATGACTTTTGAGGAGTAGTATTCTTAGTCTCCAACTGACTGCTATCTTGTGCATCATCAGTGGCAGACAATTTTGATGTCCTTCTCCTCCTCTTGTTAGGAATGCCAGACTCCTTCACTGATTTCAGACTTTCAGTGGTTTCTTCATTTGAGTAAGATGACTCATCTACCTCCTCCTCTAGAAGCTCCACAGCAATGCCAACTTCCTTTGCCACTTGAGGATTAAGATGAGGTCTGTCCCTAATGTAGATGAAGGTGTATTTGGCCTTCCGTTCTTCCACTGTCATGCCTACTGCTTCACTTGCTTGCTTAACACCCATCTCCCACTGTGGTCGCAGCTTCCCTGAAACAGGTTTTAACATCTGCAAAATAAGAAAATACTGTGAGAAATGTGCTTGTTTTTCATTCCAAGATACCACCATCAAGAAAAAACAATTCCAAGAGACTAAGTGTAATGTATATTTACAGTTCAGTTATTCAAATGGAATTATGCTTGACAGAAATAATACCAACCATTAATCATTGACAAAGCAGAACAAAAATGACTTTTAATAAGTAACAGTAATGTGCCACCCCTGCTTCTCATCTATACATAAAATATAAGATTACATGCCAGCTTCAAAGCTTACCAGAATATCTATTTACATCTATACACACCTATAACAGTAAAATAATAAGTCTGAAAATCTTGCCTTTTTTGGTAGCCTCTTACCTTTATTTTCTCTGCTTTAGTGAGGGCTTGTTTTGCACTTTCCTGGCATAATTGTTCAAACTGATCTTTTCCTTTGAAAGGCACAAGGCTCTTCTCAAATATCCAGGCTCGTTCTGGAGCATCTCCAAAAAACTGAACATGATACTGACGAAAACTCTTTTTCTGTCCTGAAAAATAAAAACAAATGTATTTAAGATCCAACTGAAGTTATCTAATTTTTGCAAGCTGCTACATTTATTACAATGACCAAAGCACAGTACAAACAGTTGACCTTCGAAGCACCCACTTGCTGGTCTTAAAGTCTCTAAGTAATGAAGTTTGACATAAAAGCCCACCAGTTTAGCCTAAACAAGAATATGCTTTGCTAAATTAACTTACAATCATCTGTCAGTGTGTTCCATGTATATTAATTTAAATGTAAGCCTGCATTCTTCTGAAAATGCTACGTATGAAAATGAATTAAAAATACAAGTTTTCAAAGCTTGAATTGTCTGTGCACTCAGCCTGATCTCCAATCTGCCTAAACTTCATCTTTTTAGTATTCTTGAATAGAAACACACACGTAGCTGATTTGAACAATTGCAATAAAAACTTCATCCTAACCAAACTTTTAAGGAATCAGAGCAAGAATGGTAAAGGGTTTGTGTGGTGGATGGGAGAGTGGGAAGATGAGAGAACAATTTTGAAATTTAGACAAGAAATATTCTTGTAAATCATAAAGAGGAATACTGTCTCCTTCTCTAAGAAACAGGCTTATAATCCTTCCTTTCTAAAGATATCAGGTATTCTAACAAGAAAGGGGAACAGAACACTTTCAAAATTCATGGAGGAATTCCCACTTAAAAATGAATTTCTGAATGGCAAATGGTAGAGGTAAGGGAATCAGACTTAAAATATCTTCTAGCATCTCCTTCATATGTTTTCACATGCGGATTTGTTGTCTGCCAAGTATTTAGATTTAGGGTATCCTTCAAAGAAAAGTTTCAATAGCACTAAGCTACACTTCTGTGCTTGTCAATCCTGCTAGAAAGGATCAGTTGCCCACTTTGGTCATTTTGTATTCTATGGTTTTTCAAGGTGCCACCATATTAGTATGTGTAAGATATAGTCTGTGAGAAAGAAGAAATCGGGGAAGGGCTTCTGTATCGTAAGAATAAATAAGAGTCACAGTCATTGGCAACAGATGTCTTTAAACTAGGTCTCAATTTTGTTGTTTTTCAAAGGATGCCTTCTACTTTAGTCAGCAAATGCTTCTACTTGATTACCTGATACACTGTATTATTACTGTCTTTTTTTTGTAAACCTAAAACCACTCTTTTTGTAATTACTCAGACAGTAGTTACTTTTCAAGGCATTTGATCTTGCCTCAAGATGTGGCATCTGGAACAGTAATAATATGAAATCAACCTAATTAATGGCATGAGCGGACGTTCTATTAACCATTACAACCACATATATATATTATGTACATGAGATCTGCAAGAATGATGATGACTCAGTTGAGATCAGGTACAAGGCTTTAGAGGAACAGCACAGTAAAGGTTTTGGTCTGTCTGCATCATACATGCAATCCAATATCCTAATACACATTCCAGTAAATTCAGTAAAGCTTGCCCTCATCAAGAAAATTAATAACTAGAGATACTGAGCTCCAATAAATTATCTCTGATGAAATAAAGGATATTTTTTGTATTTAACCAGGATGCCTAAGCTGCTGACAGTGAGATGGCCCATGCTACATTTACAACCACTCCTTAAGATCGGCCTTTGATTATCCAGCAGCCCAGTACCAAGACAATCTACCTTTTGCAATGTAATACAGAGTATCTGTACCTGCCTAGTTAATTAGTGTAAGTAATAGTGTCTGCTGATACAATAACTGAAGCTGTTTTTGAATCTGCAGATGTCTCCTGTGGACAGAATCCATAACAATGCTCCTGGATAAAATAAGGGACATTACTAAGGATTACTAAAAATAAAGTCACCATTTTTGGCTCAAAGAATCCTGGAACCACCAGGTACTAAAGGGTTAGGAGAGTACTCTGTGGGGCTTACCACTATTCTTCTTCTTCTACTGTACCTTAGCATCTGTTCTTGTCCAGGCAGAGACAGGAGCTCTACTCTGAATCACTATGGGCTTTCTTATATGCAAGCGTGCATCCTGCAAGCTGAAAGTTATAAACTTCTCAAGCCAAAGCAGCTGGAATGATGAAATCAAGTATAAACAGCAAGAAATTCAGACTATACATACTGTTGATCCTAATCCTAGAAATGACAAATACAAAGACCTGGGGATTTCTACAACTCCCACATAAAAGAACTCTGCTGCTTGGAACATAAGACTTTTGATGGTGTCTCTACAGTAAACACTAGTGGAAGATTAGACAAGATTGGGAATACATACTGATGTTTTGAAAATCATTAGTGTGCATTAATTAATTATGAAGGCTGCCCAGGAGCTAGTCAAGCTTTCTGGAAGAAAAGCCCCAAAGCAACTCCAGAGTAAATAGCAGAAAAGCCACCCTCCCCAGTATATTTCTTCAAAGAGGTTGAATTTAATCGCTGAAAATATATGGGCTCCTCTTTCTGTTAACACTCTACAAGCTGGACTCAGAAATATGACACTTTATTTGCTCCATCTGTTTTTATAGCTAATATAGAGATTCTTGATAATGAGGCAACAATCTCGCTCCTTTCAATGAGCGGAATTATTCAGCCAGGAACAGAAACGAGCTTAGTTTCTCTCAAAATCCAGCTCTTCTATGTCATAATAGATCAAAGAGTCAAAAGACTAAAATCACAGAGGTTGCATGATCAAAACTCTGAATGACTGCTACAGGAAAAATTTGTCCCAAGAATCTATAATAGCCACTTAGCAATTGCATGAATGCTTGAAAGGATCCCAAGAAGCCACTTAGATTACTAATAACATGGAGTCTACCTGCAGCTCTCTTTTGTTTTAAAAGCCTATTACAAATAAGATCACGCAGTCTCTCTTAGCAATTCATTCCAATGCTTCACTGTCTTTTATACTTCCAAGTTGATCTTCATATGTAGTCTAAATATTTTTTGTTACTAAGCTCGCCTCTTTCCAGAGCAAGAAGCATTTATGCTTTTTCTCCTTTGCATGTTATTTAAGGGCAGTTAATGGGTTTTCCTCATCAGCTTAAACAATTCCGTTTCCTTCAGTTTGTTCTCACACTACGCTGTTGTTGTGTTCTCCATTTAGTCCACATCTCTTGAAATAAGATGGCTCAAACTGGATGAAATGAACATGATGCAGCTACTGAAAAAGCAAAGGATCTATTTCATGTATTTTATGACCAGCATTATTTATGACAGTATAATTTTGGTCCTACGGCTGACACAACTATATGGGGCTATTATGACACTCAGATTTTGCCTGCAGTAACACAGCTTTGCATTCATTTTCCAGCTTGGTCTTCTACCACTGTAAAAATCTACTTACTCCTACTGAGCAGGATTTTTCAGACCACACCCACAAAGCATCAAGATCACTCTCATTTCCAATCCTACATGTTTACATTCTATCCACATTAGAAATTTGTAGCTCTAATACAAATTTTACATGTGTAGTTTGTTTTCCAAGTTCTCAATGCAATCCCTGATAACAACTGAATGATGAAGGAGAAGTCCTTTTCCTCCCCAACTAAAAAGAACCCTCTCTTCCCTGCTCTTTCACATACACACAAAAAAAACCCAACCCTGGAAATACATACTCAAAGGCTTCGTAGTAACAAGTGAATGTCTTACTCTGTTCCTCGCAAAGGAAACTGATACCTTTTCTTGACCTAATAAAATATATCAAAGTATTTAGGAGCATAAATAAAAAAAGCAAGGTTATGTGCTCCTACTTTGGTTTGATATTCCTATTAACTTGCTTTTCCCCATAATTTCCAACTTCTTTGGATTTCCATTAGCAGGTTTTCCAAACTTTCAGTAAAATTTGAAATAAACATAGCAGAAATTCTTTACATTGCTCACATGGAGCTAAAACTAGTGAGGGATGCAATGCAAAAACACTTTCTGTAAATGCAACAGTAGCAAATGAAAGCCTGAGGAATGTTCACAGTTTTAAGTACCAGAGGACACTGAATAGGCTGAAATGCTCTATGTCTTTTTTCCCTCCTTTTTTTTTTTTCTTCTTTTTCATTTGGTAATGCCTACCCCAAGCCTTCAGATTCCTCAATCTAATGACCAGGACTGTAAGAATGAAGCACCACCCCGAGAATACTGAGGAAGCACTTACGCAAATTGGACATATATTACATTATGGAACCAGATGGGATGCTTTAGAAGGAGCTGAATGTGTTGGCCAATGTAGTTGAAAGTTGATCTCTGTAATTTTTGAAAGGCCAACTACGGACATCCCTGACGACTGGAAAAAGACAAACATTGCAAACATCACACCTATCTTCAAGAAAAATAACAATCTGGGGAGCTACCAGCTCAGCCAAATAATTTAATGCCTACAAGATAATAGAGCAAATCCTGTTTGAAGAGATGTCCAAGCGCTCGAAGGAAAAGAAGGTGGCTGGGAACAGCCAATAAAGATTCACAAAGGACAAATCATGCCTCATCTGTTTATTTCCTATAAGGGATAAAGGAAGGGCAGTTTTTTTAATTTGACAGGAGGAAGGATATGCAGAAGAATGAGGCAGACTCTGGATTAACGTGGTACTAATATAAAAGGTTGTACAGTCTCCATCTTTGAAGACATCAAACACCGTGCTGGAGTAGGCACTGTGTACCCTGGTCTACCTTAGAGACCATACAACTACAAGGGATCCTTTCTAAGCTTTATTACTTTATCATTCTACAACCAACACAGATCAGCCTCTACAGTTTAAGGAATAAGAACTGAGTAAGAAGCTACAAATGAGATGATGAATAAATGGGTAGAGATTCTTACATAAGAATTTCAATCAGTAGTGCCTGCGTTTAGAATCAACTTATGTTGCATGCAGATAACTATTGATTCCAGGAATCAAAGAAAATTAAGATGAATTAGAGGCTGCTTTTAGTAAAGCATAATCATTTGGGATTATTTAACCCCCCATGAGTTTTCAAAAAAATATTCAGCCTATATCACTGCTCAGAACTTCTCCACAAAAACAATGGAAAGCATGTATCATCAGGTAACTTTTTAATAGGATTTCAAACAGTTTCACAGATCAAAACTTTGATCTCTTTTGGATAACATTTAAGTTAAAAAAAAACACAAAAAACCAAAACACCAATATAGTAGAAAAACTTAAGACTGCTATATGCTCAAAAATAGTGCTTGCATGATTTTAACATTCCTCTTGACAGTGATGAACTGGTTCAGTTACTGATACAAACAAACAGACAAAATGAACAGAACTTTCCCAAAATAATGTTCACATTCTGAAAGAAATCCAGATGTCTGTAGCATCAGGGACATACCTTTTAGTTTAGTGTAGGAATGAAGAATAGGATCAGCAGAAACCATACATGGCCACCAAGGAAAACCCGATACTTTTGACCACACTAGATCTCCTATATTGTACTTCAACAGATGGACTTTGTCATCTTTGATGGTACTTTGTGTTGAATCTCTCTTAGCAGGAGCCTTAAAAAAGAAAAAAAAGGGAAAAATATTATCACAATTTCTCTTTTAGATACACTCTAGAATTACTAAACATCACACAAAAATAAACAACAAAGTAATGTTTGTATTCCGTTTAAACATTCAAGTAAAATGAAAAATCTTCTTTTTAGTTTGAAATATTAGCATGTAAGCTGTGACCTGCCTTTATTGTTCTGAGAAACTGCTGAGAGAGCATCAGGAAGGCTTGCTTTAATGTCAAACACATTCACTGAGCACCAACTAAAGATGCAGAAGAGTCAATCTCAGTTTTTATTGAACATTATCAATCAAGTTAGGTGCTAAATAAGCAAAAATTCTGTTCTGGATTAGAATCTAGAATAGCTTGAAATGCCTAGATGTCTATACAGAAACAGCATGTATAACCAGTCAAGAAAAAAAAGAACCCAAATTCTACATTTTTTAGCTCTCTTTCTACATTGTAAGGAAAGCATGACACAAACCCTATATCCTCACACCCTTTAGCAATGTCTTCTTTTTCCGTTCCAGTGTTAGTAGCAGAAGTTTGTGAGTGTCCAGTTCATGCTCTAAAGGTAGGTCAGTCGCTGGAAAACTGTCACAAATCTCTTCATTTCAGTGGATAGATTTAAATAGTACAAGGGCATTTTATGTTTCCCACTGACAGGTACATATTTTTTATTATTTATAACAAAATTCACCAATGAAGACATTTATTTAGAAAATAAAATTATGTCACATTCTATGAAGTTACTGACATTCTTTTCATCTTCATTTGTTCTATTAGATGTAAATAACAAATGCCCTTATCTAGGTAAACTTTAACACTGGATGTGAGAAAGAACATTTCTCATTGCAGGTATCTGTAAAAATAATTACTTATTTGGTTCTCTGTTATTCTGTATTTATGTGTAATGTATTATATTAGTCATCTTCTCTACTACCAGCTCAACAAACAGAAGGCAAAACAGAGCTTCAGGCTTTCAGTGGATTTAATGTTAGAGTTGGAACAAAATTCTGTTTTAATTAATACAAGTGGCAAGAGGAAAGAGGAAATACTGTTAAGAACCTGAAAATCTACAATGTGGAAATGGTATTTGAAACATCATGTTGAATCAAAACAGACATGGTTATATTATAAATAGACTTTTAAACCCAAAGGACACCATTAAGACTAACGTTATTTTCCAAAACCAAACAACAAATCTTTGACACACTGCAACAGCATCGAGGATTCTTAGTTCTCAAACACAGAAGTAGATCCTGCTAGAAAACAAACTTAAAGCTCACTGCACTGAGAAACTCCTTTCCTCAAAGCTTTTAAAGCTTCTCCTGGTAAACACACATGATACTATGTCATCTGATTGTTAGGAGCAGTTACTCATCCAGTGATTCAGCTTTTCTGATGAATTTAGACTTGGTTCATGTGCCTGCAGCAAGAGCTGTGTTCCCATGTTTCAAGGTTTTTGGCTCTCTAAGGAATCTGCAAGACTGTCAGAAAACCCCTGCTGCTGAGCTTGCCTCAAGTCCAGCATTCTCAAAAGACCTCAAAGATTCTAAGCAGATGTGAAAAACCAAATGCTCCTTCTAGCACTTAAATATGACACAAAAAGTTAAGCTTAAAAGCTACGAATCAAGAAACACATATGCTAAGAAAAGATCCAGAAAAACGATAATCTTTAGATACAAAAATGTACTTCAACATTTAAACAAAATAGATGGGATGAAAATATGTTCAGAAAAATCTAACTAATTGAAAATGTGGAAGTTATTCCAGATTCTTAATCTCATTTTTAATTTACAAGCCCCAATATTATTCAGAAAGTGCAACTAAGCCAAAAAGATTTACAACTACAATCTGAGAAGGATCTGGCTGGAATAATGAAAAGGCTCAAGCAGTGCTTCTTAATGCTGCGTAATCTAAAAGGGATGGCACTACAGGGGTGAATATTGCATATCAACACATCTACAGGCGAGTCATGAATTTTAACTTCTTTGATGGATCATGATTAAAAAAATTGGGAAAACGACAGCCCTGTGATAAAAACTGCAAGGCTGATCTATGCAATACTTTCTGTATTTATGCTTTCTTTTGTTGATAAAACGTACATACTTCAAAGGATGGCAAAATGCAGCACAGAATTCTACAACCATCATTTTTTTGAGGAGGTCTTTTATGAGGTTATTTAAAAATCTAGACTGCACTGTTGTGAGCTCATTCTTATCCATCTTCCTTTCCCACTCATCCTGATTTCATTTGATTTCCTCATTCTTGCAGTTACTCTGATCCATTTCATAGGTACCTCAACTATAAATGGTGAAGTGAAATGCCTGGCACATACTTCTGAAAGAAGCAGCTCTCTGACACTAACAGTCTCCTTAATATTTCCTCTGTAAAGTATTTCTGCACATAGCATTAGAAATCTTAAGATTAGAAACTTAATTAAAGTCACTTAAAAATCATCAAGAAATGATAGACACTAGCAGGCAGTCACACACATTTTACTCCAGCTTCCAGGTTGTGTTGTTTGTTTTCAGATTACTGCTGAGATGGGATGGAGAGAGCATCTCTACAAAAATCTCTGTTATTCTATGAACAGGGCTGGAGCTTTTTCAGGAGACACTTGTATTGTACAGAAATAAGCAATGTGGCTTGCAATATTTTTTCTCCGGAGTAAAACAGGTATTGTTAGAATTTTTTTAAGCAATAATGGAGTATCCCTAACAATACGCAGCTAATGCACAGGCAATCACTGTGCATCTGTAGAACATGGAGAGGTAGGGCTGGAAGCATTCTTGTGGTGGTCTGTGATGAGCAATTCATACTGCTCCAACAGTAGATCAGTTCTTCCTTACTTAATGATACTTAAACAGGCAAAATAAGATGAAAAATTCCTTGTTTAAGAACACAACTGTAAAGTGAGGGAAGCTCAAATGAGTCAAACTAAAACACTTTTCCCTCAATTCCTGCCTGAAGTGGAAAAGATACAGGCTTCCTTAAAACAGTTCAAATTTCTAATGAGATAACCTACCCACAAATGTAAACAAATGGAAGTCTGTAGGAACAGTTCAGGAGCTTCTATCTTTTCTACTTCTACCAATAATTTCAGTGTTTTTTTTTCCTTTTTCAAATACTGAATTGCAGAGAAGTTACATAAACAGGATGGCTGAATCCCGGGTGAGCAGGTGATGACTGAGGATGACGCAGGGCAGTCCCAATGCTGAACTCACAGGCCACCTGACAGGCTCCACATTCCTTAGTATTGCAGCCACTGGTTTCAAGAGAAATCTGGCTTTCTAGATTTGAACCCTAATGAAAGCCTTGCTCTGAAAGGCAGCTAGACAGATTTCAAGTTTATTTTGTCTGGGCGACTGTGGAGTGTGGAACAGAATAATTCAATTACCATAACTGAGTTTTTCTGCAAGAAATTACGCCTTGAAGAATACCAGCATTCTTAAAAATTCATCCAAGACAGCAACTGCAATAGGCTGAGAGATACCAAAGAAGAAAAGCATATTTAATGTCTTCCCTCTTCTCTTAACATTTCCAAGATTTGTTTGCCGTATCTCTCAGCACTTTCATCATCACATAAGTGATGAGTGACAGGCAGATTGACAGGAATTCCTGACACTTCTGTTAGCATTCTACCAGACCAAAGAAGTGAAATGTGATGGCTTGGTCATAGAAAACATTTGCATTTAATTAACTTTGCCTACAACCCATCAAAAGAATTCATCCAGTTTTCATTTAATTCTGGTCTGACTACGAATGCGAGGCAACAAGAACATATTGTGTATGATGGGTAATTTCAAAGTTTAAAATTATTTTAAAGCAACTACAAAGCATGATGCATTTAAGAACAATGTCGTTACTGCACTGCATGCACAGCTTCACATTTGTTTGTAGACTTTGTTATGAAAGCACTATGATCAGTTTGAAGCTGGCAAAGGACTCTTCTTTTAAAAAACAGCTACAAGGCTTACCAGGTGACATCAGACTGAGCTAAGTTATCCATTCTGAAATTATCAGTGGTAAAGACTAAAGATCTTAATATAATAGCAGATATTAATCAAATAGTAATGATCTATTTAGTGTACATGTGAAAATTAATCCCTCAAATTGATTGTGAATTAACTGAAATGTCAAAAAGAACAGTGTTTCACTGAACTAACTTTGGAAGCTGCAGAAATCGCCAGCTTCTAACTGTAAAATGTCACCAGGGGATTAGACAAAGAACACTGCCCAGGAGAGAGACTGTATCACCAGAAAAGAGAACATTTAAGACAGATGAAGACAGTACACATTTTATTCTATTCTAACAGGGAAGCACTGATACTGAACAACTTGCAGGCATCTTCCCTCCTGTTTTCACTTTCAATTCAATTTGTGTGAAAGTAATAACAGTTTGTAATCCTGCACCAAGAACTTCTCCTAGGCCACCCTATACATACTGACTGCTGGAGGTCCACTTGCACTCTGGAATAAAAATTTGCTAGCATTACAAAGGATCTAGGACAAAATAATCAAGGTTCCAAAACAGAATATATGCAGTTGAAATGTACTTCAAATCAACATTAGAACACAGAAACACAGTCTAACTTTTTTCTTCAATATGAAACAGTGCTCATTGACCAAGACCACGTATTTTTCCAGTCCTGCTACCTATTAGTGAGTATTAGTGGGTGAAATACAGCATATTTTTTAGCCTGGATTTGTGTAATAAAGATAAAAATGAGATGTTTTGTCTTCTCTTGCCTCTTTAGCAGGAAAGATAGTGAACTAAGGAGGTGGCTATAGAAATCCATTCCTTTGAGAAGTTTAGGAGAGATGGGAACTTGCCTGAAGAAAAAGTGCATAACAAAGCAGAAAAGACTCACATTTTGTCACCTAGATTGATCAATGACCAGGTTCACTTTCAACAAAGACACTCCCTGTAAAAAGACAAAGATTCCAAGCTTATCTTCCTTGAGAACCAACCATCCCAATTAAGCTTCTTAGGAAAGCT